TAGTAACAACCTTTTTACTATTAAATACTCAGGTTAGTTACCCAGAGGCTGACACTTACATACCAGCACCACCAAAACCGGCTCGGACGCAGGTAACCCCAAGGACAATGTCACAGCTCTTGGCCAGTCCGCCTCCGGCGGCTCATCAGTGGGGGCCAATGGTGTCGTTGGAGGCCCTGATGAGGAGGCGCGCCTTGCCTGTTCAAATGCCATCCGCATGCTATTTTGGAATGGGTCTTGATGTGTTGAGATTTCATTAACTATCATCCTGATGTATCTAGATTTCATTAACTATCATTCAGGAAACATATGGGTCTTTGATCAACATAAGAGATCGCGAAGCCGATCTCGGATGTTGGACATAGACAACTCGTCATCATGCCCCAACTCCCTCCTGCCCCCCTCTTCTGGATGGTTGGGAACCTTGTTGAACCTGGCCTCGGCAGGATTCCGAGTATCCCATACTTGTAGATAGAGTGTTCCACGCTTGTTCAGCAAGTTGTGAAGGATCATGCAAACAAAAGCATTATTCCGCGCCCTTACGGGCCTGGCCATCTGAGGATGTAGGAGGATTCGGAATCGGTTCTTCAGGCGGCCAAATGCCTGCTCAACGATAATCCGAGTCGAAGACTGAATAAAATTGAAATGTTCGTTCTCAGGTGTGGCAATAGACGGGTATGGGAGGAGGACCCGGACGTTGGAAGGATACCCAGCGTCCCCAATCAGGTAGGTACCCATAGGGATCATTGCCGGAGCCATAGATCCGGGGGTGATGCTATGTCCCAATTCAGACCGCCAGAATAGCCGCCCATCATGCATGGACCCTGGTGCACCTCCACTGACCTGTTATTATGTCAGATGGTTCATCCGATGACAGGGAGGGGATCTGGCGGTAGGATAATGGCAAACTCACATTGCGGAAATTCCCGTTGCCATCAACGACACATTGAAACACAATAGAAGCCCAGCTTTTTCTATTGATGTAATCCTTCCATCGGTCCTCAGCAGGGACAGCCAACGGGATGTGGGTACCATCAATGGTCCCCACCACATTGGGTATCCCATGCTTCGCCTCAAACGAAGCTGAGATCTCGTCCCATTGCTCCTGGTTCGCCAATGCCGGATACCTTCACAAAGAACAAACCAGGTCGTATTTCAGTTGCACCCCACCGACACGCCTGCCTGCTGAACGACACTTACCTGATCGCCACACGACGGAACTGTTGAAGTACCGCAATTACAAACCGCCCCGCCGCCTTGTCGGCCGTCTCCTTCCCAATATTGAACACGTGTCCAATGGTCAAGTAGCTGGACCCATGGGCAAGTTGGTACAACCCCACCGCTACCTGTGCTTCAACCGACAGCGGATCTCCCCGGCGCAACAGATCGAGCTGTAAGAGGTCCCGCAGGCTGTCACTTAACCAGCGGAAATCCTCGACTGACATCCGGAAAAACTCCAGAAATCGAGCTGGTGGGATCCTGGCGTCCGACCATGGTTCCCATCGTGGCGGCCGTTGGAATGGCTCTTGGCGAGCGCGGATGTAGAGCCCCTCGCGTAGACGTTCATCCTGTTGAGTAAGGAGCCAAAAGGATATCACCTCGTCAGTCAGGCCCGCTTGCATGTTCATGATGAGGCGTGAACCCGGTGGTCCGCTCATTGGCTCAATGGGCCTCATAATGACCCAAGTGAACTGTATGTTTCACCGCGTCCAACGGTAGGGCCACAAATAGGTCTCAAGGGAAACCTAACCCTGGTAGCACTCCGGCCATATTTGAGGCCTGGTTTCATGAACCCCGTCCGCCAACTGATCATCCACACCAAACAATCAACCCCTGACATAACCCCAACCCTTCCAAATCCCAAATGGCACTCCCCTGGGAAACCAATGGCGGAGTCGACGGCCGGCCTAATAGTATCAAGGTCCTCCTTGATTGGCTCTCAGCACCAGGTAACTATGAGCGGTGGACCCAAGCCGAAGTGAAGGCACCTCTGACCAAGGAAATCCACCTCGAGATGATCCAAAGCGGCATCCACCATCGGACCCCACATGGTCAGCCTGCCCTCGATCCTGATTACTCCTTTGACCTCACGCTAACGGATGATGCAGCATAGGCATATCCCTGAAGATCTACATGCTGCATGAAGGATACATTCATGCATGCCACTACCGACGGCAAACCCCGGAGGACCTCCGCGAACAATTCCCCAATGGCTACCTCTCCTTTGAGGGTAAGTCAGATGCATGGCTTTTTCTGGTATCATCGGCACCCATACTGACCCAACCTTGCACAGGCTATGCAGACATGATCTGCCGTGACTGGGGCCGCCTTGAACAAATCTTTGGTCCGCCAGATGACCTCGCACCCGACGCAACACACCCGGACCCCTCGGCCAGGGAAAGGATCATGTTCAACACCAATGCGGCCTCCAAGCTCGTCGAGTTTGTAGATCGCATGCGAACTGAGTATCATGAGACCATGGAGAAGATCCCTGGATATGTCCCATGGTTGACTTACTTCAAGAACAACCAAGAACAGCGAGCTGATTACCCCCTCTTGCACGGCTTAGATCCTGGCCTCATCCTGTGCCGATATGAAAACCTGACCATAGGTTCCCGCAAACGTCGACGCGGGTCCCCCTAGCAAAGCCCTCCATTCCAATCTTCATGCATGATGTGCTCTTAAATATTGCCAATGATTGTTGCAGATGAAATCCTGGTGCCCATTGGCCTTGCCTCTTCCCAATGCATGTAGTAGATTTATTGTCCAATTCATGGGAATTCAATGCACAGCTTGCTTCTCAATCTAACAAGAAGCGACCCATATTTAAAGCAGCAGAGGGTGAAGTCCGACTTGGGAGCCCCACCCATAGGGCTCCCAAATCACACAAGGGCCAGGTTTTCCAGTTCCTCACCCCCTGTGATCGAAGTCAGACCTAATACAGGCCCACCTGGCCCGGGGGTTTATAAGTGCATAAATTATTTGAGTTGGTTTTGAAAAGTTTTTGAACTTCTTTTTGATTTCTTTTTGATTTCTTTTTGGTTTTCAAATACTTTTCAAATAAAAAAAGCCAAAATCCAAAAACTTGGTTTATAATCAGGGCCGTTGTTTTCTATGGAGGTACTGAACCGCCACTTTGGCCAAAAAAAATTAAAAATGAAAAAAAAAATGAATTCATCAGCCAATTTGGCCATACAGTCCTCCCATTGATGACCATTTATGACACTGGTCATCAATGGGAGGACACACTCCCATCAAGGACTGGTTTTGACAGGTCCTTGATGGGAGGCAACCCCCCCAAACACCCCCATCAATGACTGGTTTTGACCGGTCATCGATGGGGGTGTTTAATCCCATTGATGACCGGTCAAAACCGGTCATCAATGGGAGTATACTCCCGCAAACACCCCCATTGATGACCGGTCAAAAACCGGTCATAGATGTGGGTGTATGCGCCCGTTGCGGACCATCCACAACCACTTCAAGGAGGTGGGAGGTTAGGATCGTCCGCTTTACATGGATGAACAGAATTAATCACATGGTTTGAAATGGCGAGTTCGCTATACTTGATACGCACATCGGCAAGATCTACTAAATCGGATCCATGAAACCATTGGGTCAAGAGATGACACCACTCTGAGGAAGACCACCATACTGAATGTCTAAGACGTCGTTGGGAGCGGATATAGAGTTCCTATCATGTGGTGAGGTATGGTCACTCTGATAGTTGCTCGAATAAACGTTCAGGAGTGAGAAGAGCTTCTCCACCCCC